AAAAAAAAAAAACCACTAAATATTAGTGGAAGTTAAATCATTTTGATTTCTAAATGGATTTAGGAAAGGGAAATGAATTTTTCCAGGAAGTCACATGTTAAAATCTATCTGAACAGAATTGTAACTTCTAGTATAACAACATTTTGATAAGCTGTCTTATAGTTTTATTAAGTATGATAATTGCTAATCTGTTCTGCCAATTTGTTTTCTCAACATCTAACAAACAATGCATCAATATTGATTCCACCAATCAGATACTGTCCTTAGAAAGTTATTGTCCAAGTTCTGCTTGACAAGGCTCCTAGAGTCTCTTGCAGCTATCCCACTGAAGAGCCAGGGGCATTTGTTCATCTGTTTATATATTTGAGACTCTTGACACAAAAGCAAGAAGTGCCGTAAAAGCTGAGGAGCTAGTGATTGATGAAGCTTCAATACCATTGAACCAATAACGACTGCAACATCAAGACAACTAGACAGATATGGGACATGGAATGATCTAGCAAAATTGTTCAAATTTAGACAGACCTACCAATGCCTACAGTATGATAGGAAAGAGAGACGAATTAACTCATTCCCAAGAATTAGAATCATCACTCCATTTTTCTTGACTTTGGAGATTTATGGGAGTCTTGGGTTCCATTATGCAATCTAGTCATAACTTACACAGCACTATCCATGCATCTGAAGAAGTGTTTTTTAACCTAAGAAAGCTTATGCCCAAATAATCTGTTAAAGTGACTCCTTGTTGTTTTTGACAACACTATACAGGCACATTGGCTGCTGTGGGCAGCTTGCACGTGGTGTATGTGTGACAACCAGGGTCCAGACATCCCAAGGGGCAAAGAGAAGGTTTAAACCCCAGCAATGAACAGTTAAACCAACTGACTGCATACTGTATTATTGTACTATAAAAAACACATCAAGCAAGGTCTTTTATGAACGCTCGTAATGTATACAGGCTGTGGGTATGAATTTACAAATTTGTGTATGTAGAAAACTGTGCTCAGTCTGTGGTGCACTTCAGCTCTCTCTCAGCAGGGCAGTGAGTAGTCAAGCAGGGAGGGGCATCTCCCAAGCCTGTTTATACAAAACAGGTATCAAGAAACTATCCATTGTCCAGCCCAGGAAAAGACAATGATGGACCATTAGAGTTAAGGGAAAGACACTGAGACAATTTGAAACGGAAAAGAACATCCTGGCTCCCCACATAGATTAACCATGAGTCACCACCATGGGCAAGAGGAGTGGGGCATTAAAGAAGCCTTTTAAAAGAAAGCTTGGAATTGAGGTTTTTTTTAAATCCAGAATTTGGGGGGACAGGCTCAAGGGGAATAGCTTTTTGGGGTGGGGGAGAATTGCTTTAGGGCAACAGGTAACTCTTATTAGAAAAGGGATTTTATCTTTAATATGAACTGCAAAAGCCTGAGGTTGCCTCTTTATGCTGATTTTCCATGTGACTTGTATATATTTGCCTTCCCTTACTAATTCATCTTTGAATCTGTGTTTATTTAAAAAAAACTTATTTAGTTTTATCCCAGACAGGTTGCTGCTGTGCAAAGTGTGGAGTGCATATGCCTAGGGAAGCAGAGAACAGTTTCAGGCCTTCAAGGGTGACGAGCCACAGAGAAACAGTCTGAGTGTCCAGTAATTAAGAATTTGAGAAGACTCGGGACTGGAAGAGCTGTTGGTGTCACCCTGTAAAGAGTAACTAGGCTGGTGAGACCTTTTGTTTGTGAGCTGGCTACTGGGTGTCAGGGAACGGAACTTTAGCTGCACAGCACCAAGTCCCCCAAAATTTACAAGACAGGCAGTGACAGAACCTCTTACTGATCTGCCTGGTCCCCAAAACATCACAACATATTACTCTTAACACACTGAGATATGCTACAGAGCCTAAGCACGTTACTAGTAGAGATGCAAAAGTGATAAGTAAGTTTTATGTCATTTTGTGCAAAAATATTAGTCATTTAGCACTGGACAATTTCACAACTCAAATTTTATTTTCTTCAAAGTGGTCATTTTCATATTGAAACTATCCAAGATTTTAAAATAGTGTACATTTTCAATGCAAAAAAGTAATTGTTGGAATGATGTTCAATTCTGAACTTTCCTAAAAAAACAGAACCATCAGAGTGAAAGAGCCCCATTTTTTAAAAGTATAAATGCTAATTTTCAAAGTTTTTCCACTAAATATTTCAAATGAAACACAAATAAAGTTCTCACATTTCATTGCCGGGTTTCTGCAGACATTACTAATGCAGAAGAGCAAGTGTTTTGATAACACCTGAATAGGGAAAGGGAAGTAGATGTTTGTTTGTCTATGCCAACTTCCCTCCTCATCTGCCTCCCTCTTCAGCCAATGTTGTCACACTCACCTACACCTGTCTAAATGTGCTTGGACATAAATCAGAAACATGTTAAAAATGGGACATAACAGTTGATTGAAGCACATGGCTTGTTTTGCCATTACACACCTCCATCCTGTATGACTATAGAGTGCACTGTAGCATCCAAATTCAGACGAAACAAATCCCCCTTTTTGATGATAACTCTCTTTCCAGGATCTTGTCCAGGGTTCCAATTCCGAAGACGAGGGTTCTGATCTGGACAATTCTCTGCAATAACCAACTCAATTAAAAACACCATAAACACATTAAGACAAGACATTGCCATATAAAATCAAAAAACACAAGTCAGGGGTTGTCCTCCCTCTACAGCAACATGAAGGTTTCATTCGTTAGGAACAAGTGGGTACAACGCACATGACGTTTCTTTTTCAAATTAGATGGAATGGGATCAGAAATAATGGATGACCTTGTTTCTTTCTGTTGTTTTCCTAAATTTACCATAGAAGATACTGCAGTTAGTCGCATCAGTGTTCAACCTTATGCAGCAAAAACAGTGACAGGATATGCGAAGGCTGACTAAGCTTTAGTAGAAGGAATGTATTCTTGTTCTTAAACTGAGCTACTTAGCACAATAAAGAGCATTACAAAATGCTCCTGCCAAAAGGGCACCAATCATTTAGATACCAAGGTGACCTGTATGCTATCAGCTAAAGTTACAAAAACCTAGAATTCTCTTCTCTCAACAATTGGGTTAAGACTGTTAAAATAGCTGCCTACTGCAGCAGTAGAGACCGGCCTCCTCATAGCACGGAGGTGGGACGACAGACAGATTGGAGAGAGACTCTCTAAAGCATCTGGAAAAGGAGATATTGGGGGGTAGGAGGGCAAACACAATAGATGCCAAGACTAACAGGCCAGCACCCAGTGTTGGAACAATGGCTGGATGATTCCATGTCAATGGAATTCATCCATGTAGCCTTCTCACTTCTCCTTCAGAGACAATCTTACATCAAAAGGCAATTTAGCTTCAGAAAATAAATGGGCATGTAAGAATAGACAATTGTAAACACCCCTATCTAAGGAACTGGGATAGCCACCCTGTAATGAAGTAGTATCTATTCAGCTCATCTTTACTGTGATCATTAGTATTTCTGATTTATATTTTGTAACTTATTTAACACCATATTCTCACTTCAATCCTTTTCTACACTGTGAATTCATATCAACCCTTTTCACAGGAGCCAAGATTTGACTTAGAAAAAGAAGATTAACACAACTAAATATGTAAATACATGGCCAGAAGAAACCTAAGGGATAATATAAAGTCTACAAGAAAACAAAGGAAGGAAACATCAGGGCAGGAGAAAGTTGTTTAGGGTGGTCCAAAGTAGTGATGATATAAAACTCAACAAATGAATTCGAGCTAACTAGCAGGAAGCGTTTCCTTAATAGTAATATCTGCTAGACTGTTGATAAATCTTCAAAGGAAATGGAAGCCCCATTATTTCAGAATTGGGCTGTACAAACACATTGCTGGGGCACCAAAGGGAAATGCAATAAGATGATCTAATGAGACAGTAAATTTACTATAAGTTCTATGAAAAGATCTATAAAGTGCAATGCTAAGGACTGTAACTTCAGTGCAGATATAGGAAGGAGGGGGATAAGAGAGCAATTCTAAAATTGAATGTTTTAGGATCTCCAATTAATTAGATGGTGACAAAGGAGATATGAACATCACAGGCACAAAATTAAGTTCCTCGAACATAAATATTCTTTTGAAACACAGAATGTGCATCTGTTCTCTGATTGCGATGAAGAAAATTAAGACTTTTTTCACAGCTGGAAGTGCATTGAAAATCTTCCTTGACATACAGGACAAGGGACCACAATGAAGCACCCAGCATTTAATACTGCACAATATAACACCCTCCAAAATCATCAGTTATGTTTTACACAGATACACTTTTAAGTATATATTCCTGTTTTCAATTATTTGCAACTTTGGCAGATAACTATGCCAAACTAACCATTCAGGCTGAAAATTTTCCAGGCTGGGTGGTTGCTTGATTTTAAGTTTCAGCAAAAGCAGTTCAACTGTTTCTGAGAACAAATTTAAGGGGAAAATATGCTGTTTTTCAAATGTTTTATATATTTTATATATATATTAGATACACACACTTTAACTGAGAAGCTTCGGAGCAATAACTTAAAATTTGGCAGAGGGTTGAGTAGGCACGGGTGTCACCACTGTGGCCACATAGGAACCTTTTGTTGTCCCCACAAAAATCCCTCAATTTTAGGGGGATAAGCCTCTGGAAAAGTCACCACTTTCATATGCTCAGTAGAGGCTTACAAAAGTCTGGCAGCTAAATTCTCTGAAGATTCTGTCTATCCTCAGCATGATACAGCCCAGGGCTGCAAGTGCCAAGCAGAATTTCTCTACATTTGCTCATCATTGAAGCCCGGGGTCTCTTGTAGCATAAGACAGTGGTACCAAGAGCAGAGAGGAGATTGTCTCTCCTTGTGCTCTCACTGCTCTCCCTTGCTGTACTAAAATAGCCTGACTAGAACATAGGGTGAGAGGAGCAAGGAGGAGGGCAGAAGCAGAGAGGGACAAGCTGGGAGGACAGGACAGAAAGGGACAAGCTCGAGGGAAAGGGTCTAACCACTACAGCACACTGCCCTCACCCCCAAAACTTAGAATTGAACCCATGGTTCCCGAGTCTCACTGTTTCTCTATTAAATAGCTGTGAAAACTATTAGCAAAATGGGCATCTCATCCCACCTCTAATATTCACAGAGGATACCAGCCTACTACTTCTACCACTTATGCCATTAGCTCAAGTGGTAGACACAAGTCTTTGCTGTGGATATAAAGATTCCAATCCTGCTGAAAAACTATGAGGGGGAGGAAGGGATGCAGAGTCAGCATGATTCCACATGACAGAATGTTTGGATTTTTTTTTTTTTTAAAGGGGTGTAAGTGGAATTCTCCTTTAGATAGATGGAAAATTCCAGTCAATGTGTCATTTATTTTAAGACACACGGAATAAATTTACGCAGGCGGAATGTAACTAGCTGTATTGGAAATGGCCTAAATTCCAGGATTAATACTTCTATTCTTGTAAAGAGAGCAATGAGATCTCTAATAATGCAAGCACTCAGGACCTGGTTTTAGATCTCAAAGAAGACTGGACCTCAAGGAATCCAGTGCTCACTACCGTATTAATGAACTGATTAAGATATAACTCAGAGAATAGTGCCACCTACTGAATCATCAACACCTCTTCCTGCAACACCTTGCGTTTCCTTGGAAGTCTGCCAAGTACCGATCTGTCACAACTCTATTTAGGGTGCAAAATTCAACCAGTTCAAAAGTCTGATGAAGGAATGGCTACAAATCAAATAAAGGTCATCTTGAAACAATCTGCATATAAACACAAAAGCACACTAACTCTTTCATAATTTTACAGATTTTAAGGCAAGAAGGTACCATTATGATAATCTAATCTGACCTCCTGTATAACCCAACCCAAAGAAATTTACCTAATAAACTCTTCAACAAATCCATTGCTTTTTAGAGCCTCCACTTTACAAAGTCTCCCAATCTAGATTTTAAAAGACTTCAAGTCACCTCCTACTACCTTCTCTTCGATAAACTAACTAGATTGAGCCTCTTAAATTTTTCACTGCAAGGCAGATTTTCCTAGAATTTGAATAATTCTGGTGGCGCCTTTTGAACCCTTTCCAATATCTTTTTTTGAAGGGTTGACACCAGAACTGAATTACAATGGGAATACCACCTCCGGACTCTCATTCAGTATTCCCTATTTACACATTCAAGGATCCCACAGCACTGCACTGGGAGCTCACATTCAGTTGACTATCTCTAAGTTCTTTTCATGGTCACTACTTTCCATGAGACAGGCACACACCCTGTAAGAGTGGTTGACTTTTGTTCTCACATGTATGACCTTGCTGTGACATGGACAGACTGGTCAACTGGCGTATGACCCATAACAACTTCACAGGAGGTACTGAAATGATAAACAGATTCCCTGGCCATTCCCTGCAGGTAGTTATCAAAGCCATGTTAAGTAGACTAGAAACTTTAATATGTTTACTTAATATTGTTAGAGAATCAAAGGGTAGATGCTAATTATATTTGTCTATGTTTACCTATATCTTGTTAGAAGTTTAACAATGTGATCTAATTAGCTTGTAGATGCTAAAATTCTGTTCCCGTCTCATAATGCTTCATTACGGAATTCTATTGATTCAGAGATCAAAAAGGGGATATTATCATTTAGATGGGACATGTGTAATAATATTATTGTCCTAATTTCTCTTTGAAACTTGTAAATTCCACATAGTAAACTACCTCTGAATATGCTAATGGTTACTAGTGTATGCATAGGAAACAGAGATTAGCTACAAAGCAACAGTATACATTACCTATTCTTCATCCAAGGAAGGTCCTGCTGTGATTGATGACTGACTGCAACTATAAAGAAAGCTTTGGGCCTGATCCTTTTTAAATCTCCTATCTGCTTAAACTTTGACAGGGAAAGTCTAAGCCCCCAAGACTGAGGTATCCAGGTCTACTCTGGAATTCTCATGGAAGATTTTGAACAAACTCAGCACATGGACTGCCTACTGGACTATAAACTTTTAAACTGATTCCTGAAGGACTCTTACAAATCAGCAGCCTCACCATCTCTGCTATGAAACTGACCTGATAACTTTACTCATATGTGTATGTATACTGATCTTTTAACCATAGCAACTCTCTTCTTTCTTTTGATGAATAGATCTTAGGTTTAGTTAATAAGAATTGGCTGTAAGTGTGCATTTGGGGGAGATCTGAAATATTCATTGACCTAGTAGGCAACATGTCCGATCCCTGGGGATTGGCAGAACTTTAAGTATGGTGAATCAGGTTTATAGTAATCTCTTGCTATATTAGACTTGGCTGTCTGGATGGGAGCCAAAGGCTAGATTGCTTAAAGGAGGCTGTAGTTTGGCTTCATAGTAACCAGTGTGGTAATACAGAAGTGGTTTGGTTACTGGCTTGGTGAAATCTAATTATAGAATAAACCACCGGTGTGGGGGATTGCCCTATTCCTTGCAGTTAGCCCAGAATGTGGCACTCTCAGTGTGGCCCCTCCAGGCACCATGGTCACATTTGCATTCGGCTGTTTTAAAGCACATGTTGTTCAAATGAATCCAGGTTACCACCAAGTGATCAAAGTCACACTGTACAACTGACCTGACATTTACCACCCCAATTTTTTATTTTCTTCTATATCATTGAAGAAAGCTACTGAATAGCATTGGGTCAAGAACTGATTTCTGTGGAACCCCATTAGAAATACCACCACTGGATGGAGGTTACAATTACTTTTTGAAAATCAGTCATCAATTTTTAATCCATTCAATTTGTGCTACATTGATTTTGTACAGTGCTAATTTTTTAAATCAGAATGTCCTGCAGTAAAGTCAAATGCCTTCCAAAAGTCCAAATATATTACAAGTTACCTTTACCAACAAAACTTTAATTTTATCAATTGCTTTGACATTTTCCAAAAAAACCAAACTGATCCTCATTAATTATGCTACCATCCTTTAATTCTTTACTAGCTGCATCCCCTATTAGCCATTCCAAGATGTTGCATGAGATTAATATCAAGTTTAACTACAGGACAGTTAACCAGGCCATCCTGTTTATCCTTTTTAAAATACTGGTGTATTAGCTTTTTTCCATTCCTCTGGAACTTTAACATATTTTGGAATACTGAGAAAAACCCAACATCAATAGTTCAAAGAGCTCATTTGTCAATTCTTTTAAAACTCTTGAGTGCAGGTCACCCGGTACGGAGATTTAAAAATGTTTAATTTTATTATGTGCTGTTTAACATCCTTCCTAGTTATGGTTGGAATAGAATATATTATTGCTGATCTCATCATCCAGCCTCTCCCCAAATACAGAACAGAAATATTTGAACATTTCTGTCTCTTCTGCATCACTGCTGACAATTTTATCATTCCTAGCTAGTAATGGATCTATAGCACCACTAAGATTTATTTTGTTCCCAGTTAATTAAAAGTTTCCTTCTTATTGTCCTTCGCCCTAGGGGCCATATAGTTTTCATGGATACCTTTAGCTCTTCTTATAAATTGCCTGCTTTTAGACCTGTTAACACCACTGCTATCAACTTCCCCTTTTTTACCCATGTGTTATATTATTTTTAACAAAATATATTTGTTAAATAGATAAACATCAACATCAAATATATATATTTATTTTTAACATTAATACTGATGATTGTTAAACTATATTCATAGGCAGTTTAACTTGTAATAAGAATTCATTTACACAACAACTTACCATCTGGTGCATATTTTGAAGATATTCCCAAGATAATTGCCAGTGCTATAAAAAATGAAAAGCTAGAAATGCCAAAGCAAATGAGAGTATTTTTGTGTCTTTTCTTTCTGCTGGTTTCTGCTTGACAGCGCTGCTCCTCTGGCGAGAGGGCAAATGTTGCATGGGCTTCTTGTCCTGCAGATGTAAATTTGGCTGAAGTTTGGCTCTTTGGACGTGGTGGTGGACGAAGAGGAACAATTCTCCCTGGAACATAGCCAGATGATCGATGGCTGCTCCCATTCTGAGGCTGAAGGAAAGCAGGGGAATTCCCCCTGGGATCAGTGGCTTGCATGTTATAAGGTCACTGAAGGGGGGGAAAAATAAATGAATGAATGTATGAAAAACAATCAGATAGTTTAGGTCGTGTGTGTTATGTGACTATTGTGTCTCTCTCTGTTATCACTATACTGTACCAATATGTTACAGCAAATTCTGGCTACTACAATAACAGTTCAAAACATTAGTGCATAAATGAAATAAAACTTACAAAACATTTGCTACAGGGAATCTAACCACTGACAATTTCTCAACATTTCAACACAGTAATTGCTGATCCCCACTAAATTTTTAATTAAAATGTTTTTGTGTATAATTTTGTGATTAAGAAGTGACTGGTTAAACAGTAAGACAGCTATGTCAGCACAATCCCCACAATAGTTATGCAGAGAATGCCTAAATGTATTTCTACAGCATGCAAAAACTGAATCAACTCTTCATTATTCTCCCTTCAATAAGTGAAACATGAATTCCCTTCACTTCATATTTTAATCACCAAAATATTTTCATTTAACATGTACGAATCTCAGACATAGTGTATTTACACCCATCTCCCCTTCCTTAGATGCAGTTATGTTAACATGTATAATCAGGACAAGCATAGATGATCTGCATGCAGTAATTTTTGCTTACAGCATGACTTTGTTGTTAGGAAAGGTGTGTCTGGAATGGCTTTATAAGCAGATCACCTGCATCCTGTTCAGCAAGGTCTCATGATACTTCTCTTTGCCAAGCTGCGTGGGTTGTGACACAAAGTCTGGGAGCTACATGACCTCTCCAGACCCTTGCATTTATCACCCAACATAGAGCAGAATTTTTGTTCCAGTTGCTAGCAACCCTCTCTCTGAGGGAGCTAGTGACAAAGACCCATTAAAAATATGGTTCCCAGACCCACATCATTCTTGTCAGTTGTTCAGAGCTGACAAATCTTAATTTATGGTTTGCTTTAAAAGATACATAATTTGCACTATATTTCAATTTTTGTCTAATATTTATTGCAAGCAGTGTTCTGAAAGTCAGCATGTATCCCATTAAAATTTCCAGAGTGGAATATTTGAGAAAGCTGAGTAAATTGAATGTATGTGAAGCTTGATCTACTAAAGACTATAGGTTCTGTTAAATAACACATGCTGATGAATGATAGAAATAGGAGCCTACCAATAACAAGACAAAGACCCTTTATTCTCCTTCACTAACAAAGGAGTCCTAAAGTACATATTCTAAAATGCCAGGCACATTGATGAAGGAGAGAAATTACAATGGTAATCTTATTCTGAGAAATAGCAGGGAATTTTTTGTCTCACATGCTGCAAAATCTGATACTTCACTGTTCCAGGGTGAGAAAGGCTGTTACTGAACAGGCTGGATAACCCTTTTATAGAAGACAATGCATCTCCTATACACATAATGAAAGCTAAAAGCATTGAAACACTAGCTAGAGAAGGAACAGCAGAGGGCAGAGCACAAATTGGCCCAAATCCTCTAGAGACTATCCCAATGTTCCTTGCACCTGCTCCTTGTGGCAAATGGACTTTTCAACATTCTTCCCTTTATTTTTTCATAGCTGTTTCCCAAACTCATTTACCTAATCCCCACCCCCAGATTTACTGTCCAATGTTTCATGAGCATTTGATGAATGGCTCTCTTACCATATGTGCATTTTAAACTAAACTCAACTACTAGACTTCTAAATAAAATACTGATTCAGATTTTACTTAAGAAAAATCAACATGTAGTCTTAAAGTCAAATTACTCTGAAACCTCAGCCTTCTTTACAAAAAAAGACAGCACCTATTGCAAACTGGATCAAACAAAGCTATCCTCTAGTACAGTGGTTTTCAAGCTCTTTTTCTGGCAACCCAGTTGAAGAAAATTGTTCATGCCAACAGAGCTGGGGATGAGGGGTTTGGAGTGTGGGAGGGGCTCAGGGCTGGGACAGAGGGTTGGGGTGCAGGAGTGAGCGCTGCAGGATAGGGCTGGGAATGAGAGGTTCAGGGTGTGGAAGGGGGTTCTGGGCAGGGGTGCGGGAGAGGGTCAGAGCTCTGGGCTGGGGGTGCAAACTTTGGGGTGGGGGTTGGGGATGAGGGTTTTGGGGTGGCTCAGGGTTGGGGCATGGGCTTACCTTGGGCGGCTCCCGGTCAGCGGCGCAGCAGGCATGCTAAGGCAGGCTTTCTGGCACCGTGGACCGTGCTACGCCCCAGAAGTGGCCAGTTGCAGATCCAGCTCCTAGGTTGGGGGGTTTGAGGGGGAGGCGGGCACAGGCCTCTGCGTGCTGCCCCCACCCCGAGCACCGGGGCGCAGCGCAGTGTCAGAATACGTAGGGACTAGCCTGCCTTAGCCAGGCAGCACCACCAACAGGACTTTTAACAGCCTGGTCGGCAGTGCTGATCAGAGCCACCACGACCCAGTGCCTTACATTCTGCGAGCCAGTACAATAGTACAATAATTCCGATCAACCAGATGTGTGACATTTTAGAGCAGACTCATAACCCAAAGACATGAACCTGGTCTGAGAATTTTTAGATATAAGAGAAACACTTAACTCTAAGATGAAATGCCTGAATTTATAACACTCAAATCACAAAAGTTTCAAATAGTGCAGGGGAAAAAACAAAAAACAAAAAACCCACAGATCCACCAGTTAATACTTTTTATTGTTTAACAGTATAAACCAAACCCAGAGGGGGGTATTCAAAGTTTATTTTAATCTTTGAGTTTGAGCTAATATATATTCTCTAAATAGTGCCATTTCACAAAGGAGACCATTTAATAAAGTTTTTCCTCTATTTTGAACAAGAAACGTAAGGCTCTTTGGCACACAGTCACAAGACAACCTACAGTAATTGTTTGAAAATAATTTATTTCAAACGTTTAGGAAATGTTGCAGGAAGTCAATGCTGCAATTCAAATATATTCCGTCATATCATAAAACTGATTTTAATACTTGCTTGGGAACAGCATTTTGCAAGTTGTAAAAGTTTCAGAATTTTCTATTCAAAGGCAAGTGATGTTGTTCTTCCAGGGACAGGTGGGAAAGAGATGCCCACAGAACCCTCCCACTCCCATCCCTTCCCCCAGAAATATCAAAATTAAATTCAAAAGACTACCATGAATGAGAGGTCTTGTACAATCAACAAGTTTACAGTGCAGCTCTGCTCATTCCTCTTTGCCATAAGAATTATTTAAGCATTGTGAATTTCCTTCTTCCTTTTGTCATTTTAAATTCTATGACAGAAAGAATGGTTTTTATTTTTCAATTTTAATCCTTTACACCAACAATTTTATGTTACTGACTTTTTATTTTAAAAGGGAGACATCACATTTGAAATTGTTGGTTTTATTGTTCATTTATACTTTATGGACGATTTTAGACAGTAACACACCCACCCACCTACACTGCAATTAAACACCTGTGGCTGGCCCATGCCAGCTGACAAGCGCACTGGGCTCAGGCTGTGGGACTGTTTCATTGTGATGTTGACATACCGAAATCGGGCTGCAGCCAGAGCTCTGGGACCCTCCCACCTCACAGGGTCTTAGATCCCAGGCTCCAGCCTAAGCCTAGACATCTACACCTCAATTAAACAGCCCTGCAAGCCTGAGTGAGCTGGCCCGGGGCCAGCCACGGGTGTCTAATTGCAGAGTAGACGTGCCAATATAACTTAGAGAATTTTTCACTTGACCAGAGCTCAAAGAGCCGGGAAGCGATGGCCCTGTGCACAATATAGCTGTGCAAATGACTGCATTTACATGTTTTGGCTGAGGTATAGCCTAAGTCTTTCTGTACTATATAAAGTGGACATTTTCCTGCCAGCTCCTGTTCAATTCAGCTTGTCCTCCTACCATTGTTGATTCACTTTCCACATCAAGCATGTTTCACCCACCATGGGAATTCACTGTTTCCCCTTTAGCAGCCCCTGCGTCACCACAATTACAATGGAAGAAAGCAGAACAAGAGGGAGGATCCTTTGCAATTCAAGGTTTCAGAGTAGCAGCCGTGTTAGTCTGTATCCGCAAAAAGAAGAACAGGAGTACTTGTGGCACCTTAGAGACTAACAAATTTATTAGAGCATAAGCTTTCGTGGACTAC